AAAAAAGGGTTGCGTCATAGGACCTAGCATACCTCTGTGTTTCTACCTGCCAGACAGTTAGAGCAGCGCGACCCCTCAGGGAAAGAGTGCTTCATCAGTGGAGGGTAGTAGCGCTGCTCTAACTGTCTGGCAGGTAGAAACACAGAGGTATGCTAGGTCCTATGACGCAACCCTTTTTTGTCCCCCCAGAGGATTGAATCAGAGGAGGGGGATATATCCCCCTGGGGGAAGGATTGACCGAATCAGTTTAGACCCGGATCAGACAGGACAGCCGATAAAGCGTTAAGTTCACCGCTAAACATTGAGTTGCTTCGTAAAATGCGTTAGCTGACCGCTCCATAGGCTCATCTTTGCAGAAGCTCACCGTTTGATACGCGCAGTGGAGTGCGGAGCTAAAGTGGTGTCTGTAAACAACCACCATGCATCGAATGTCAGTGTAATTTAGCGGTCGGATTGTGTGTGATGTTAAAATATAAACATCCAGCACTCGTTATCGTATTTTTGAACTTACACCATACATTTTTAGGAACTCTGGGGAGCATAGCGGTTTAGTGGTATTTCGGGCTGATGATAACAACGCAAATGAAAGAATATTGAAATGAAATGCTTATCTAAAGTCTGGTTTTGAGTGACCTCTATATTCTTGCGCATATCGTTATTATCGGCCCTTATCAGCCGTTATCACTTTCTTTCCCCCACCAAATATGTTCCCGTCCACCCTCTACATCACTTCTTGGAACCAACGCCTCACTGATGCTGGGACGCGCGCTATGGATATCGTGAAATTGCGTTTTGGCGCCTCTTATCGGATCTTATCAGTCGTTATCACTTTGACCCCCACCAAAATGTTCCCGTCCTACCCAGGGTCAACCGTCCGTTGGACAAAGTCCAACGCGACGACGAGAGTAATGCCGAGAGTGAACGTACGCACGGAGACACAGACGGCTCGCGGGTGGCGAGAGTGAATGCCGGCGCGGAGAGCGGTCAACATCGGTCCAACGTAACGGTTGACCCTGGTCCTACCCCCTACAACATACTCAAAATACAGCGATCCAGGCTGCAGCGAAGTGCGCTGTGAATTTCGTGACAAACACACGTACACACACATAGGGCGCACGCATACTAGGTCGGACGACAGCAACGATCGCAACTGTCGCACAGCATTGGATGCGTAT